GAAGAAGCTCTAGGCCTTTTCTCCTGTATCGCATCCWGTACATCTCTTCATTGCTATTCTTTAAAATATCCCTTTGATAAACCAGTAAAAGTAAGTGTAGTGTTTCCCTGAGTACCATGAGCTGCTTTATTTATTTTTTTTAATAGTTTTTTTTTTTTTAGTTTTGAAGGACCTTTATTTTATTCCTTTATTTGTATGTGGTGCTGAGAATTGAACCCAGTGCCTCACACATGTGAAGCAAGCTCTCTCTATATCAGTGAGCCACAAACCCAGCCCTGTGAGCTGCTTTAGTATATTAATTAAACTAAAGGAGGGGTTTGTAGGAACCCTAGTTGGTAGCTGGTTGGTCAAAAGTTCCAGAGGAATGGACTTGTGACTGGAGTCTAAAGTGGGGGGAATCTGGTGGGTCTGAGGTCTCAACCTGTGGGACCTGATGCTAATTTTGGGTAGATATTGTCAAAATTCAATTAAGTTAGAGGACATCTAGCTTGTGTCCAGTGCAGGTTTGTTGCTGGCTTGCTGGTCGAGTGGCATTCCTATACATTTTGGGATCAAGGACGTGGTCTGTGTTGTGGGTATGTCTTAGGAGAGACTAAACTGGAGTTTTGTTTGTGTGTGTGTGTGTGTGTGTGTGTGTGTGTGTGTGTGTGTGTGTGTTTTCTCTATATATTGAAAGGGGAAGTCAGAAGGATCTCAAAATCAAAGCGTTGGCAGGGCTGCTGATATGGACAAAATTGTGTCCCCCTGTGCCCCCCTCCCCCCAAAAAATTCATGTGTTGATGCTTTACCCAGAGTGTTATGGTATTTGTAGATGGGATTTTTGGAAGGGTATTAGGATTAGATGAGGTCGAGAGGGTAGGGTCCTTATAATAGAATTAGTGCCCTAATAAGGAGACACTGAGAACTTGCTCCCTGTCCCTGCCCTATGGCCATGTGAGTACACAGCAACATAGCAAGAAGATGGTTCTCTACAAGCCAGTAACAGAGCCCTCCACAGGAACTGAATTGGTCAGTGCCTTGATCTTAGATTTCCCAGCCTCCAAACTATGAGAAAATAAATTCCTGTTGTTTAAACCACTGAGTCTATGGTATTTTGTTATGGCATTCTGAGCTGACTACTATTTTTTTTTTCTTCTGGAGCACTAGGAGAGAATTTTTTGTTGTTATTGATCGCAGTACTGGGGATTGAAACCAAGCTGCTCTACCACTGAGCACCACCTCCAGCTCTGTTTAAATTTTGAAACAGGTTCTCACTAAGTTGCTGTGGCTGGCCTCAGACACACTATCCTCCTGCCTTAGATTCCCAAATAGTTGATATTACAGGTAGGCACCCCCATATCCAATAAGAATTTGTTTCTTTCCAAAACATTTCTAACTCCTAAAGGCCACTCATATTCTTTAGTTTGTGGCTCCTTCCTTGTGTTAGTCAGCTTTTTGTCACTGTGACCAAAATACCTGACAAGAATAATTTAGAGGAAGAAAAGTGTTTTGGGGTACATCATTTCAGAGGTCTTAGGCCACAATTGGCCAATTCCATTGCTCTGGGCCTGAAGGAAGGCAGAACATCCTGGTGAAAAGGTGTTGTGAAGGAAAGCTTCTCAGCTCATGGCTTCTCAGCTCAGCTCATAAGAAGCTGAGAGAGAGAGGAGCCAGGGACAAGAATATAATCCTTAAGGGCATGCTCCCAGTGACCTGCTTCCTCCAGCCACACACCACCTGTCTATAGTTACCACCCAGTAACCCACACAGATTATTAATTCATCAAATGGAATAGTCCACTGACTAGGCTATAGGTCTCATAATAAATCATTTAACCTCTGAAAATCCTGCATTGTCTATTACAGGCCTTATTGGGGAATACCTCATATCCAAACCATAACATTCCTCTTTTTTTTTTTTTTTTTTGGTGGTGGTGGTACTAGGGATTGAAACCAGAGATACTCTACCACTGAGCTACATTCTCAACCCTTTTTATTTTAAAATTTGAGACAGGGTTTTGCTAATTGCTAAGCCTGGCCTTGAATTTGAGATCATCCTGTTTCAGCTGCTCAAGTAGCCAGGATTATAGGTGTGCCCCACTATACCTTACTCCTTCCTCTATCTTTTTTTTTGGGGGGGGAGGGGGGAAGGTGGTACCAGGCATTGAACTGTGGGGCACTCAACCACTGAGCCACAACTCCAGCCCTGTTTTGTATTTTATTTAAAGACAGTGTCACTGAATTGCTTAGCGCCTCACTATTGCTGAGGCTGGCTTTGAACTCATGATCCTTCTGAGCCGCTGGGATTCCTTCTCTATCTTTAAAGCTAGCAGTAGCATCTTCAAATCTCTTTCTGACTTGGACTTTTATGTCTTTGTCTTCTAACAGCCCACCTTGATAATCTGCCATAATCTTCTCATTTTAAGATCACTTGATAAGCAACTTTAAACCCAGTTACAACTCAGATTGTGGGAATTAAGATGTGGACATCTTTGGGGACCCCTATTCTGGCTACCACATGGACTAACAATGGTTTGAAACTTCAGGACATTTATTATTTACTAAACAAGAAGCTTGGAGGTGGGAGCTTCTAATGTTTACCTAGCAGGTTTAACTRTATCATCAAAATCCCATACTCTTTCTTCCTTACCTAGTATCTAGTATTTTAAGTTGTAGTATTTTTCAGCTGAGACCAATGAGGCTGAATTCCAATCAAATTAAAAACATGTTCTTGACATACCTCTGATATTCATAATGGTATCAATCCTGTTCAATTTATGAAAACTACGCTTCATTATCAGAACTTTATTTCCGTTCTCTACTGAAATGATCTAAAATAATAAAGGCAATCTACAGTAAAATTTACAAATAATTTCATAAGCAGATCATATTGTACTGTTGATAATGGCGATGCTCCTGAAATGGAAATGTTGTCGGGCAGTTGGCACCATGATGAGAAATCCTCACATTTGTCAGCCAATATATCAAAGTTCAGTTTGATGTATGTTTAGTATACTACTTACTTAAATAATTACTTCAATAAATATTTATTGGGTGTCAGGCATTGTTCTAGGAGCTGAGATTATAAGCCATGAAGAAAATCAAGAAAAGATCTGACTTCATGTTGTTTATTATCTGACTAGAATAATCCCAAAATGCAAATGAAAGTCCAAGATATTATTTTTTATTTTTTAAAATATTTATTTATTTTTTAGGTGTAAATGGACTCAACACAATGCCTTTATTTTTAGGTGGTGCTGAGAATTGAACCCAGTGCCTCACGAATGCTAGGCAAGCATGCTACCACTTGAGCCACATCCTAGCCCTTAGTAACCTATTATAATTGAAGAATCAGACATACAGACCAAACATCATCAAGTTTGTTTACCACATCATCTTTAAGTGAAAAATTAGAAACAACTTAAAAATTCACTGAAAGGGAAATGGCTAAATAACTTATACCCATAAGCCTGCTGTATATATATTAAAATGATATTTTTAAAGCAGTTGTTGTCGTTGGAAAATACTCATGCTATACTGTTAAGTAGGTTAAAATTTTCTGATTAAAAACTATATATCTAAAACATTAATAATGTTGTTTCTGATTTGTATGATTATAGATCAATTTTTTATTGTCCAAGATTTTTAGAATGAGCATATTTTTTATAACTAGAAAAAATGTATTATTTTAAAAGAAAGTAATCTTCATTGGGAGACTGTAAGTGAAACATGTGTCTCTTGGATATTTCAAGTATTTTATTAAAACATAGCCTGAGGGCTGGGGCTGTGGATCAGTGGTAGAGCACTTGCCTAGCATGCATGAGGTACTGGGTTCGATTTCTGGCACCACATAAAAAAATAAAATAAAGGTATTGTGTCCATCTACAACTAAACAAACAAACAAAAACATAACCTGAGCTAGTTTGGGCCACTCGAAGAAAGAATATGATTATTCTTCTAAGTTTTATTTGTGATATGAAAAGCCAATGCAAATTTGAACAATATTCCACTTAGCCAATATTTTTTTTCTAGTAGCAAGCAGACTTTTATTAAGGATAATGAAGATATCTTATTTGAAAATATTATCTAATGGAAAATAAAATAATCGCAATTATCTTTTATTTATTTATTTATTTATTTTTTTATTGGTCGTTCATAACATTACATAGGCAATTATCTTTTAATCATAATTAATTTTGAGTTTTAAATAATTTCATAAATGTGGTTGTGTCAAAAATGCTGATTTTTTTTCTTAATTTTACCTTAAGCATATCATACACATTGAAAAGTTCCCAAAACTTCGTTTAAGCTTAAAAAATAATTTAAGAATTAACTTAGAAGTTTTTAGGGGCTGGGGTTGTGACTCAGTGGTAGAATGCTCGCCTAGCACACTTAAGGCACTGGGTTTGATCCTCAGCACCACATAAAAATGAAGTAAAGATATGTGTCCACCTACAACTAAAAAATAAATATTTTAAAAAAGAAGTTTTTAAAAAAGATTCTTGGAACTGGTAAGTTTATACTTTCATCAAATTAAAATGAAATTTTGATTTTTGAAATAAAACCAAATTTTCCTGCTTCTTTACATGCCTGATTTTAAACTGATTTTTTTTCTATATTTTTTTGTTGGTGCATTATTGTTGTACATATTGATGGAATTTGTTGTTACATATTTGCACATGCACACAATATAATTTCCATTTAGCTAAATATTTTAAAACAAATTCAATATAGTAGCTCAAAAACTTAGCAGATCTTTAAATGAAAATATGTTAGAATAATTGCTTGACCTTTTTTTAAGGTTTTTTTGGTAGTTATAGATGGACAGAATGTCTTTATTGTATTTGTTTATTTTTATGTGGTGCTAAGGATTGAACCCAGTGCCTCACACATTCTGGGCAAATGCTTTGCCACTGAGCTACAGCCCCAGCTGAATTGCTTGACTTTTTATCAGGAAACTGTTAGTTGCTTCTAAACACCGAGTAAAACATTAACTTTTTGGTTTTTTTTTGCAATAACAAGAAGTAAGGAAAGCTACGGGCAACTCTGAGACCTTGCAAAACAGCTTGCAAGAAAAATGAAGCTCCCGATTTTCGTAGTAGATGCATTCACAGCAAGAGCATTTCGTGGGAATCCTGCTGCTGTTTGCCTCCTAGAAAATGTAAGTACTGGATTTTCAAGTGCAGTACCTGAACTTTATAGATTCCTATAGAATCAATTACTTCTTTAAAAAAAAAAAAAAGCCAGGTGCGGTGGTACCTAAGGCTGAGGTAGGAGGATCACAAGTTCAAAGCCAGCCTCAGCAACTTAGCAAGGCCCTAAGCAACTCAGTGAGACCTTGTCTCAAAATAAAAAAGATTGGGGATGTGGCTCTGTGGTTAAGTGCCCCTGGGTTTAATCCCAGGTACCAAAAAAAAAAAAAAAGAGAGACCCTAGGGCATTATGTAAAATTGTGGATGTGTAACTGACGGGATTCTGCAATCTGCATTTGGGGTAAAATTGGGAGTTCATAACCCACTTCAATCTAATGTATGAAATATGATATGTCAAGAACTTTGTAATGTTGTGAACAACCAATAAAAAAAAAAGAGAGAGAGAGAGAGAGAGAGACCCTGCCCTGCTGTTTACTTCTTTGGTTTGGGTGTTCTTTTGACATGATATAAGTGGTATTCATGTTGTTGAGTTTATTATGACCAGATTATGTGATGAGAATGCTTATACCTAGGCTGATTTCAGAGAAGTGAAGATTCATATAAAGAGAATCTAGAGTCAATTTAAAAAGAACTAGCTAGGTACACTGGCGCTAGCCTGTAATCCCAGCTACTCAGAAGGCTAAGGCAGGAGAATCACATGTTTCAGGCCAACCTGGGCAATTCAGCAAGAATTTCTCTCAAAAAAAGGGGGGTTGGGGGATAGGGGGGTGACTAGGAATGTAGTTTAGTGGTAGAGCACTTGCCTAGCATGCATGAGGCTCTGGGTTTAATCCCTAGTACTACAAAACAACAACAACAACAAGAATGTGGTCTTCCATTAGCCATCAGGGTTCCATTTAGTTAGCACCAAATGTTGAGGGGAATGAAGTTTTATGTGATTAGATGTGTCTGATAATAGATTTGTCATAACTAAGACTGAATATTTTTAACCTTACTTATAGCTTAGACATTTAGAAATTCTTTTCAGGACCAAGAAAATGAGACATTTTGTAAGGAATTAAGTAGGTAGAGAGGTAGAAAGAATTAAGCTCTGAATGTACAGAACTTAGCTTACCAAAAGTCTTATTTTTAAAATAACTTTTTGAAGCCAGATGTGATGGCACATTCCTGTAATTCCAGCTACTTTGGAGGCTGAGGCAGGAGGATAACAAGTTGGAGGCCAGTTTCAGCAAATTAGTGAGACCCTGTCTCACGATAAAATAAAAAGGGCTGGTAGCTTTGTGGTAGAGTACCCCTGGGTTCAGTCCCCAGGACTGCCCAAAACAAAAACAAACAAACAAACAAACAAAAAACAAAAAACAAAAACCCCACAACTTTTGGGTTAGGATAAATGTTAATGGAATAGTTAAGTATTCTTGACTTTGTAATTTTGGGGGGTAGTAAGAAACAGATGATCTTAAATAACTCATATAAATTGGGCAAATTGTGCACTGGGGCTTTTGCAGTGAATCTCAGTTTGTTACATAAGAAACTATTGATTCCTGGGGCTGAGGCTGTGGCTCAGTGGGAGAGCTCTCGCCTCACACGTGTGAGGCTCTGGGTTCGATCCTTAGCACCACAAAAAAGTAAAACAAATAAAAATAAAGGTATTGTGTCCAACTACAACCGGAAAAAAAAAAAAAAAAGAAAGAAACTATAGATTCCTATCCCTGGACCAACTGCAACAAACTCCTTGGAGGTGAGACCCATGCAGCCCTGTTTTTCAAAGCTCCCCAAGTGATTCCTGTGTGTAATCAAGTTGAAAAACTGCTGAGGTTTGACTGAAATTGGTCAATATTGTTAATTGAGTCCTAGGAACACTTCTTTCTCCCTCAGTGGAGAAGGAAAATGTGATCAAGTGTCCTTACCTTGCCCTACCTGTGCATTCCTTATGCAACCTTGCAGCTGAGAAGGTAATAAAGTCAATAGACTTTATCCAGTAACACCAGAGCGTGGGGAGATTAGTGAGAGGATTATTAACCAGATTCCAAATCGTGAACTTTCATTAGGAACAATCTGGAAAACATAACTTCCTGTCAAGGAATTGCGGAATTGACTATAAATGCTTGTCAAAAGTCTTAATATATTTGTCCCATCTTCCCATGGAATATTATTGAAGAATTCTGAATATAGTTTTGAGTGATTTAATAAAAATTGGCATTATTCTCCAAATTACTCCTTTTATCTTCAGAACTCTTACTAAACATCAGACCTAAAGGACCTATATCTATCTATCCATTAAAATATATTTGTATGTTACTTATATATTTGGGAAAACTATCAATAAAAATTTAAGTGAAGTTCTTAACAGTTCAGTAAGAATGAAAGGAGGAAAAAGATAGAAAGTCCATGACTCAGGGAAGCTCTCTAAATATCAATCTTTTAATTATTCACTTCTTTTTGGCCTTGGATCTATAAGACTAGCTAATTTGATTGACTGTCAGGGTCACCTGAATAGGTATCTAAAGATTATTTTGTTAAACTTCTTAATCATGTTTTTTCACTCTTTGGACATGAGAACCTTGTCTTCCTGGAGGCTGACATAGCATTTTCCAATTCACAATCAATAAAAATTATAATAAAAGTGACAAACATGATCCTTGGATTCTGGATATGGTGCATACCCAAAACACTTAGAGAAAATGCAAGTGAACACAGGAAAATATCAAAGATAAATAAATGCTAAACCTTATAATATTGATTACAATTCCAAAGGCAGTCAGCTTACCTTAATGCATTCTACAGATATTTATCAATATCTACCACAAGCCAGACTCTGGGCTAGGGGTCAGGGTTATAAAGATTAACAAGTCGATCAGATCTGTAAGTACACAAAGTCTAATGATAGAAATAGATATGGATAGCTCATCCTTATTCAGTAATCACCACTGAGGCTTAAAGACCTAAAGGTAGCAAGTATAGTAGGGACTTGGAGGATTGGACAATGTTGGGTTTTATGGAGGACAGAAATACTTGAGAATTTAAGTGCAGGGCTTCAATAGAATTTTTGTTGTGTTTTGTACAGTTATATTTTAACTTATTTAAAATTTGACCAACAATCTTTTATCAAGTATTCAAAAACTAGGGATTGAATCCAGATGTAACTCTGAGCTACATTTCTATTCCTTTAAAATTTTTAAAAATTTTGAGATCGTCTCATAAAGTTGCCAAGGCTGACCTCAAACTTGTGATGCTTCTACCTTAGCATCATAAATCACTAGCATTATAGGTGTGCGTCACCATGCCCAACGAAGGTAAAAAAAATTTGAGAAATGAAGTTCCAAGGGTTTCTATAATATTCTAAAGGTTTTTCGTTTTCAAGATAACTCCATTTTAAAAATTTCACAAGGAGGGTTGGG